GAGCGGCATCATCCAGAACAAATGGTGTGATATGTGGGTAAATGCTACATTACCACTGTCCAAGTCAGTTGTACAATCCGAAGTTTTGGATTTGGATTTTTGGATTAGCACAGCCAGAAGGGGTGGTATAAGTTGAAATGCGCTGTCCAAATTATATAATCATTTCGCATCAGTTTATTTGGTTACCTTCATCGAGGAGAGTTTACAGATAACCTCACTGTACAAAGGAAATCATGAAGTTTGCTTAGAGCTCATTAAGATGGCATCATCAATCAAGATAAGCGATGTACTGTAACAACCGATAATGACCTTGTCGTTTATGTTGTTTTTACACTATATTTGAACTTATCGAATGGATCATGGTCCAACAGGATTTAACTCACTTCTTCATTGTCAGAAAGAGCACTTTTCCAATAAAGACACTACTGGAAACCAATTCTAGTAGTGTAACACGAAATAACAAATTGTACATTTGATTGACTGATCAAGCATCACGTTTTACGATATGTGGATTTGTGAATCAAAAATACTTCTGGAAATCAACTAATTTATAGGTTCAGATTTAAGAAGGTTATATAAATTGTGTGAACCTGCCGGGTATGGAATTCAGTTTATTTATACAGCGACTGAACACAAACTGTTGGATGCCTTGGTGCGCGATCACAATTCGGACGCTGTGATGTAAATGTCAATAAGGTAAAACACCATTCTCAACTGGCTGTTGTCTGTGAGCCAGAAGCAATTACTTGAATTTAACTGATTGATTATTACGATTCCGATTAGTTTTTATTTATATTGAATGAAAAACGTAGTTTAGCGAAAAAGCTTTTTTCGGTGACTCATCAACTGGCTAATACGTCACATTTTATATCACATCATTTTGCATAGGAAAAAGGTAACAAAACTAATGATTATTCAAATGGGAATTGTTGTTATTGCTTTCTGTCCCAATTTTCCAAAACCGGATATGGCTGGATGACTGGAACCAGCTATTGTACTTCTACGCACAGAATGTTCAGTTTAAGTTCAATGAAGAAATCTATTGCCAAAAGGATGGAGTCGCAATGAGATGTCCGCCCGGTCCCCTATTTTGCGGATTTATTCATGTTCAAGCTAGAGAATATTATTTTGAAGTCCACGATTAAGCGATGTAAGCTGTACAAACGATTAGCTGATGATATATTATGTTTTGTGGACCGTAACGTCAAGGTGTCCAACTTGCTCAGGATATTTAATTCCGCTCATTCCAACATCAAGTTCTCATTGGAAGACGAGATTAATGACGGGGTTGGTTTTCTCGACATCTGGCTAATGCGTCGCACAGATGGTTCTATTCAGAGACGAATTTATAGGAAACCGACATGGAGCGGCCAGTTTATCCACTTCAAAAGCTTTATGCCACTCAAACGAAAAAGAAATCTTATTCAGTGTTTGGTAAACAGGGCGGTAAAAATATGCACCGAAGACTCCATAAATTCGGAACTGTCATTCGTTCGTGATGTTTTCCTACAAAATGGCTATCCAGAATGTTTTGTGGATAACGTTTTGCGAAATAACTGTCCGAGGGAAAGACTTTTAAGCACAGAAAAGAGGCCAGTATACATTTCATTCCCATTCAAAGGGGGATATAATCGCAGAATTGGTTAGCCGTAAACTAGGAACTGCGTTGGAGAATACTTTTCATGCGGCAAAATTACGTATCGTATTCACGTCCAGACCGATTTTGTGTTCGCAACTCAAAGACAGGATTCCTGCTTCTGCAGTCTTATTTTGTGTGTACCAGTGTTCCTGTGGAGCAACGTATATCGGCCGCACGAGCAGGCACCTATCTACACGAGTTTGGGAACATCATCCGGCCTGGCCGAACACTGGTGTGATTAAAACCATTACAAGTGCCATCGTTCCACACCTCGTCGAGTCCGATCACACAGTGAGTGTGACTGAAGCATTTCGGCCTCTCTACTGTGTTCGGGGTCGCAGATCAAAGCCGATTAAAAATCGCATCCTAGCCACCACAGAGGCGTTCGGAGTTCATCTACATACCCCCCCTTTTGCGCCCAAAATCAGTTTGTGAAGTCACTCGTTCACCTGCCATGGCCCTCCACCTCCCATCCTCATCCACCTCCTCCACCTTCACCTCCCAATCCTACCCCAAATCACACAATCAATACGGACCCAGCTTAAGTTCCGATGGAAGGATCAGCCATATCTGGTTTTGGAAAATTGGGACAGAAAGCAATAACAACAATTCCCATTTGAATAATCATCAGTTTTGTTACCTTTTTCCTATGCAAAATGATGTGATATAAAATGTGACGTATTAGCCAGTTGATGAGTCACCGAAAAAAGCTTTTTCGCTAAACTACGTTTTTCATTCAATATATGTATGCTGTGAGTGACGTGGAACTGCACTGTTTAGAATCTTTCCCCCCTGAGGGTGTCTACCCAGAATCACCGGGGCCTTAATCTTCAGTTGGCTAAAACCTGAACTGTGCATTCGAAAGATTTTGGCGAGCTAACTGATTTACTTTTGTTTGCTTGAAACAAGTGGTCCGTATTTTGGTGAACTCAATTATATTTTCCTCAAAGGGCTGATATTATATAATGTTTTTTTGCTTATTATTTGGTGCAATAAAATTTAGCATGGGGTGCATTCAAACAATAATTGTGGTGCAATACACTACTATGTACATCACAATATACTATCTATTTACTGTATATTACTCCTAGTCACTGGATAGGCATACATTTGGTCAATCTCATTCGATTCTAACCCCATATATGGATAAATTAATGAATTTTGAATATTTCCATACTTACTAAACAAAGTTCACACAATTCTGTTAAACGGTGTTTTGTAGACTGATTGCATTTTAACTACCTCCGCCATGAGAGTGAATTTAGGAGTTTAATCTGTTTTTTCTTCGCCCGCATTATCCATGTTTGGCTCAACCCGAAGCAATCCACCACATAGGAAATACGGAAATATTGGGGACAAACAATATGTTCACTTTTAAAAGTAATATTAATATTATTGAATCATTTTTACCATCAGTTACCATCGATCTTTGATTCCCAATGATCATAGTGGGCTAGAGCAGACAAACGGTGAAGTTTTATCCATGACGTATACCCCTATAATTGATGTGATCTGGCGCTGTGCAAGGACGTCTCTAGATGTGCATTCGATTGAATTGACACTATATACATTTCATCCAATAAGTGAATAGGATGTCGAAGCCAATTGGTAAATAATTACACATTCTTTGGGTACTTCATGGGAGAAATCCATAAACTGTTTTGAGGAGCCATGTTCGATGAATAAATGAGGAATCTGAAGTTGCACGACAAGAACTTTTTCATTCCACACTATTCTTGTAGTTATGGGGCTTTCATGAATCCTATACCCAATGAAGTTGAAGGAGAACGCGAAAGCGCGCGTGTGTGTACCAGGAAAACGGCACACCAAAGAATTGTACCTCTGTTTCTCGACACTTAAACACACCAAGTTACTACATAAATCGATCATAATTCCGCGTACGATCGAACTGGGGCCTTCTTTCACCAGTCACTGTTTGCACTGTTATTGTGCTCGTTCTATAGAGTGTGTTTGTTCATTCACACTATTAACGATTGTGTGATTCTCTCTTTCTCTCTCTCTATCTTGCTGTTCTGTTCTCTATGCAACAATAACGAGCTGTTTTCTGTCGTTCTCACTCTTCCAGGAAGAACCCTGCCACGTGCGACATGCGCCCATCCGGAACTGACTGTGTAACACGTAAGCTAGTCAGTTGATACAATATGGATTTCTACTGTTCTGAAATTCCGGTATTTGATTTTCTTTGTTTTGATTTGTTTGCACCCGGTTTGTTGTTCATTTTTAATAGACAAACCGGATTGTTGTAATTTAATTTGACCGCGAAATAGTGAACTAAAGATTGACTGAATATTCAAACGCCGACCGGAATTCGAAACGCACTATGACCTCGTATCTTACTGGTTGACTTCAAATCACTTCCAGTATCCACAATTTGTTTAGGCATCCCATGAAAACATCGATCGAGTTAAAATAGTCCAACTATCATGGCCCCGACCTCGAATCGCTTTATATGCCTACCACACAGTTTACATTTGTGTATCTGATTTAACGGCTAGAAAGGCAGATGAATCATTGTGTTCTTCCAGTATCAGAGTAAAACATTAGTTCGCCTATTGTCGTTTTAGCAGCTTGTTACTCCACTTGAGGTAAACGCCAAATTGAAAGCCTGACGAAAGTGTACAGCCCAGTTTGTGTGCGAATATGAGCAAATCCAAAAACAGATCAACCAGATTATGATTTTTCTGAATGTCATTAAAATAGTTCAAAACCTAAAAATTGGCTTTACCCAACTGACCAAAAGAGCGAGCTCAGGATTGGGATGTCACGTTTAGACTTACTTTGGGTTACGGAGAACTCAATGTGAAACATTAATTGGATCCGATCCCGGAATCGGCCGCCGTACTGCTTCATGGATTATTAAAACAATATGCATGAAATTATCTTAACAATCTATCGCTTAATTTGCCGATGCACTTCAACACAGGTGGTTTGGTGTTTTGTGAAGGGAGAGATTGAGACCAGTAGTCCTACGGGGGAATGAGGTCGCAAAAAATGCCGGTTTCAAATTCGAGGTGTGCTAATGCACGATGATGCACCAAAAGCNGCCTAATTAGCTGTATTCAACAAAACGGCAGGCAAAACAAATGACTTTTCTATCGTTAAAATCGTGGTTTAAATTCACAGATATTGACTTTCACATGGGAATTTGTGAACTTTCAAAAAACATTCTCTTGGATTTTGCCAAAAAACTACGAAGTTTGTCCTAATAAGATTGGATTTTCGTTTTTTCATAGGTAAACGATTTACAGTCGGGTCATATCCGGCAGTAGAATAAATTCAATAAAGCAGGAATAGTTAACGATCAACGGCTCTCTAGCATACTCCCTGAATGACAACTCACATAGAACCAAGTCGTCCGACTGCTCCCTGGTGCAGCATTGCATCCACAGTGGATTGTCCTCACAGGAGAGACCTAAAACCTCTCGAATGGTAATTCGAGTGCGCATTGAAACAGCACAACTAGTGAATGTTGCACATTGTTGCAAGTTCATCTCGTACCGAATCAGCTCCGTGTTCGTGTAGTGTGCATACACACTGACCAGATCCTTTCGACAGCTCAAACTCATCAAGACTGGAGATTGTTCCGCACACAATGTTTTGTCCCAGGACAGTGGACCGAACCACTTCGGTTCCAAAGAGAGTGATCGTGTCACAATGGAATTGGGTAAGATCAGTGGGACCCGTAATAAAATCCATTCACGCCCGGAGTGGTTTTGGAAATCACAGTCGTCCCGTTGATCGAGTAAGATGAGCTGTTAGTATATGAAAATTATAATGCATGATAGAGGTTTGCCTAATCGCTGACTATGTAATTCACAACAGAGAGGATTACGCAGTCAGGTCTTTATGGTATTCTGTGTGACAAACAAAATAACCTTAAGTAACGTTACTGTATCTATGAGGTCTTGCTAGTTGACTTATTTGTAAGCATCGTTGGTAGTAGTGAGGCCGTATCAGTTAAGATTCAGGTTTTGAGATTTGTTAGTGAAAACGCGTGCAGGGAAATTTCGTCCAAGTTCTAAGCCCACCTCATCCTGGGGTGACCTATGAACCAATCATCAGATCTTGTCACTAATGATAGGTATATCTTTCTACGAAGAACCTCTTCACATAATCGGGCTAAATCCTGCAGCACTCAAAAGGTTTTCGATCGAGATATAGCCTGCAGGGTACTCCCAATATGAGCCAAAGCACCGGAGTTGTGCCATGCAGTGTATAGATAAACTGAATTGATCTGTTCGCTCCTCGTGAGTCAGGAGGGATAGTATGCTTGTGTTCTGTTTGAGAGATTTCCGGTTCGACGCTCAGTCGGATAGAACGATTTGCCCTGCACATGAGACCGAAAGAGGTTGGAGCAGTTGTACAGCATTTCCGAGATCTCCGGTTCACGTTTTCATGGCTTTTTCTATCTATATACGACGCAATCCCAGACGAGAACATAATCAAATTATCCACCACTCACTCAAAAAAGTAAGTAAAAGAAATTACATAATATAATAGCAAACCAAATAGCACCGATAATTTAACCGACACTGGACTACAGCGTAATCTAAGTACTGATAGGTCAATAATAGTCCAAGTGGGTAGGCAGTTAGATCCTGTCAGATGGTGACATGACTTGAGGTGACGGTGTTGAATTGGATTGGATTGTGAGTAACGTTTGCAAATACTATAGATTACATTTCAGTTAGAAAACTATACATTCAAACTACACAGACATCATAGGGATAACCCATGATCCCAGGTAAAGATAAAATTGGATCTCTTTGTGAGTAAACGTGCAAGATAGGTGGATTTTGAGTTGTGAATGTTGGTTGACCAAAGAAGATTTTTATCTATGGTTAAAACAAGACATCTGACGGAGCTAAACATAGATAAAGGATTGTTTTCTATAAACTTCAATTAGATTCCACGTCAAATTTAGTGACTCCGTCGGGTTTTTGGTGTTTAAATGGTTTTCAAATGCGATGGAAATCTTTGTGGTGGTCGACAAAGAGCACACGACAGCATTTTCGCCCTGTTTGGGACTCGTCAAAAACGCGTCCTTTTTGTTTCTCTGTCAGGAATAGAACCGTGAACAGTTGTGTTGGGACTTGAAAACCTTACCCCTGAGCTACACTGTCGACGGTAGACTGCAGTTCCAGTCCTGACAGAGACACAAAAAGGACGCACTGTTGCTGAGTTCCAGACGGGAAGAAACAGCTGTCCAATGCTATTTGTCAGTCATCACAACCATTTCTGTCGCTTTTGAATGCATGTAACTGGTGGGGAATTACCGATGTCACAAGGAGTGAAACCCACACTCAAGATCATCAAAAGGGCCTGGTACCTGTGAAAAGAAAACGATCGGGCTACTCCAAACATTCACTATCTAAATTTGAATGGCTTACTTTGTTGATGTTTCTTCATGATCGCTAGCACCTCCTAGGTGTGTTGAATAGAATGTCGTGTACAATACACTCATTGTGACCCCAAAAATGTTATGACAGTGTTTGAAACGGTGCCAAAATCCACGAAAAACGTTGACACCAACTTCGTACGGTTCAGTTTATTTGTGCTTCACCCAGCTCTAGATGAATAGATCAGAGAGTGGGATGTTTACTAGCTGATAACAAAGCGAACAAGTGCAGCCGATTGATCGGGTCACACTCGTACCAGGTCAGCTTATTTGACTATTGTTAGGAGTTTCCTCTCTGTCTTCATACTCTGGCGTTTCTAACGCATAACGCAACGGATTTATTCCATGCTGACTTCATGCTTCTCTGTAAGGAGACGATGGCTGTCTGAGTTTCTTTCAGCAAGATGATATTTAGCGCTGTATACGGTGCTTTCTATTAGACATGTTATAGGGATTGGAGCAGTGTGCTGCAGCGCAAATCAATGGGACCGATCTCGTGCGCGGGTGTTTGAATAATGCGTAGTGCCAGACAAAGTGCTTTCTAACCTCGCAGTAGTAAGATACAATTCCGATCGAAACACCGATGCATATTTTATTTGGCGGCCCGCAACTCAACACAGGAGATCAAAACACACAAGGTAGCGTGCTGACCTGGACCGGGTGAACGGGTTAACTATAACTGAGAATACATCGATCAATTAAAAGAGCGGCCACAAACTCTCGGACAAAACGGCCTGGGGTGATATTGATCAAGGTGTAGCATGAACAACAACATCACGTGACTGGACGATTAATAGACACGGATAGATGAATACGTTCGTAGTACACAGGAATGAACCAATCAGTATTAGGGTCGTTGTCTTTGCGTCCGATCTACGCCGTCATCGTGACTGATCTATTATTTGCATCTCTTTACACACACAGATTCTTTTAGGCGGTCCTCAATCTAGGAGCACCTCTGTTTTGCCCCTCGATTCGACGCTTCCACACACAGAAGGGCACATATAGATCCAGTCAATCGGCTTTGAGTCCAGTCTTGATCTGTTCTGTGATCATTGTGATTGGCAGAATTTTATAAACATACTTGACCTGGATCGTATTTAATCTGCGGTGGCCGTAGTGAGATCGCTTCACAAGGAAGGTTCAATTCCAGCAAAGCAAAGTGTTTCATAGGCTACAAACAGGTGCATTTAGCTAACGTTTAGTAACCGTCGTCTAAAAATCCTTCTCACAATAAAAATAACAAATACAACAAAATACTCCACAGAGAACTCACCTTCCTCGAATTCATCAGCACGGTATACATGTAACCTTCCTGGCTGACGCCGCACACACGGATCGATTCGAGCAACGGACGAATGTCGGACCAGTTTGTTTTGTCTATCGAACTAGCAATATGAATCGGCTGATAGTGGGATGGATAGGCAGGTCGAGATTTGCTGGCCGCTCGGAACAGCTCACTTGAATCGTACCAGGCTATACAAAGTTCCAGTGCTGGAGCACTACAACCGGGCTGTTGCGTTGACTTCAACCAAAATGCCAGAAGAAATGTCGGCTGAAATGGATGGGCTATCAAGTTTGACAGCCGATTGGGCGTGTAAACTGTGCGCATTTGGTACAAACCCTGACTACACGGTCCGCCACGATCGAGTTGCGAAATGTGGATTCGACGGTGGGAAAAGGCGGTGAGCTAAACAGAAAAATGACAAACTCACTATGAGAACGAGGCCTGCTTGCGTGCGTTTGCGTGCCTGCCCTTGCCATTTATGCAGCCAAATTCTATAGAAATGAAGATTTATAATTAAATTCTATAATATGCACACGGTGATTTGAGAGCACATGTTCAGATGCGAACTATTGTTTTCATTTATTCATCTTCTAGTCTCTACAGATCAAATGAGGAAAAGGCATACCACTATTGTGTTTAATCGACTGAAAGCTTATCACTGTTAGTATGTGACCGTCTTATGTGATTTGTGTAGGCTTGAAGATCAATCAATGCAAACACTTGTCTGCCTCTGAACGTGTTTTCTCATCTACAACCAACTGGAGATGAAATAACCAGCACCAGTAATAGTAACAACTCGCTAAATTCAAGACTAATCCAGTGGTCAATTTGTGTATATCCAGTTTAATATATACAAGGCCGTCAAAATAAGTACCACCAAAACAGTGTTTCTGTGTTACACCTAACAGAGATTGTTCCTTGAAACGTGTAACTCTTCATTCGACAAATTTAACACCCCGACAAACCAGGATTTCATGAATGGCCTAATCATGCCTGAAATAGTAATGTACGTTTTGAAAACTCAGCATTCCGTCGTTGGATCCACTCATGCAACCCAGCATCCCACAATCTCTTCGGGATCTAAGGAATACTGGAATCGTCACAAGGTAGAGCGCCTGGCTTCGTTCACTACTTGTATACGACCATTCGTTTACGCGGTTTCACGAAATTTCTGCCCTTCCAACATTCCTCCCATTTGCCATTCCTCTCGCCTTCTTCTTTTTGAATCCTAAGAGAAACCAGAAGACTTCGTTTCCCGGTTCGCCTCCTAATCCACATTATCTTCCGTCTACATTCTTCAATTCTTCCTTGTACATCCAGCCACTCCTTTCTACCCTTCACGACAACCAGAAAAATCCCCTGATTTACATCGCCTTTTTTGTCCTTCGCTTGATCTAAAACCTTTCCCCATACCATAAAGAAATGACATTAGTTTTCCTTTGCCCAAGTACGGTGACTCTTTCGACGTCCAACAAATATTATACTTTCAATTTCACGTCTGTACTCTCGATAGTGTTTGAAACCGATATCTCCGACCATCTGCGTAAGTTTCTCGAACGTGAAGGTTTGCTGAATTACTGTTACTATGGATATCGCCCTCATGGAAATACCGGTGATCTACCGGCTCTCATATCGCAATCTTGGTCAACCGGACTCGATAACCACGGGAAAACCACATGTCGAATTTACCCACGTTGGGACTCCACTGTCTTTCGATTCGTGGCTCCAATGTTTCCTCAGGAAGCGAACCATCTCCGCCCATTCCCCGTGAATGCCGGTTTTCTCCAAAGTTCCGTACTTTCATCCACCCTCTTCGTTCTATATATCAACGATCATTTGTCTAAAATCTTTACTCTCATTCACTGCTTTTTCGATGATGGCACTCTTCATTGTCTGTTTTTTTACCCCCAAACCAGTCAGGTTACTACCAAGTCAATGAGGACCGCAATATCATTAGTGCTTATCTTGCGTCCGATCTTGGGGTTTACCAAGAATGTGTTTCAATACTTCTAAGAGTTCTTTCCTCTCCTTCTCTCTTAAACGTCTCCCTTACTCTCCTGGATTGGTTTTTGACTCGCTGCCCTTTCGTTCCATCAATTCTTTCTCTCTCTTGGAGGTATCCGTAAATTCGTCTCTATTTTCACCCTAATCTCCCGCGCTACGCGTAAAGTTCGTTTCCTACTCCATGCCAAGAGCTTCTTTACACTCAAATACCTCTTTTTATACAAAGCTCGAATCCGCTCGGTGCTTGAATACTGCAGTCACATGTGGGGTGGAACCTCGTATTCCGCTCTTTTGCTACTAGACTGTGTTCAAGGTAAGACCATCCGGACGATCCACAAACCATCTTTAGCTTCTGACCAGCAGTCGCTTTCCAATCGCCGATCAGGTGCTTCTTTATCTCTTTTCTATCGTTACCATTTTAGTTTCTGCTCTCGCTTCAATCATTCCCCTCCCGTTGCGTTTTATTTGTCCATCTCAGTCGCAGGTGGGTAGCTACCATTATAAGAATTCTGTCCCCAGATATCGAACTTCTTGCCATCTTTCTTTTATCGGGGCTGGGGAATTATGGAACAGTCTTCCCATCTTCGTATTTCCGATTATTTGCCGTTACGAACGCTTACTCTTTTCAGATGCAGAATTAACGAATTTGTTCTAATCTGAATGTTCTTCCAGATACTATCGCTCTTACTGTGTGTCATTGATTATGGGGTTTACCCGTTTTGCTGTAAATCAATTTGTGTGCAATAAAAAAGAGATATATCAATTGAAACACTTCATATTAACGCGATGATATACGGTAACGAAATCAAGCACTTCAGTCAATAGACCGAATTTAACCCCTTTCCCAGCTGCACAACAATAAAACAATGTTCATTGCTTTCCAAGCTGCACATCAGATGACAATCAGCCAATCACCATTTGTTAACGATGTGTAATAAGGTCAGTGGATAAGATGATGAGAATATCGACTCATAATCAGATCTAAATTGGGTAGACGTTTTGCCGCTGGAAATCAACCGGGTGAGGTTCTAAATGTACTTGACTGATCACATAATTCAACCACCGAGTAAATTTGAATTGTTCGCGGTAAAGGAAATCCCACCAACTGACTGAGTATGTAAATATACCGCCATTTATACGTCGGCTTTGCAATTTTATAGGAAATTATGATTTCAAAAACTGAAAGGTTTTCAAAGAAGCACTTTTCTGTGTATGAAATCTTATTTCAATGTCGCTGAGATCACATATAACCTTCATTAGACACTCTTTCACCACACGATGTAAGCCGATTGGATTCAGGCTAAGGTACGACATGCACGAGTGGCTATTGTGAGCTGGATTCGAACAACCTTATTGTCAGATAAAGCTACCCGAACTCCAAGTGATCCGGAAAAGGTATACAGGCACTCAAATCTCTTTTTTCGGTTTCAAGAATGAGAAAATCACCATAATCGCCTGTCGTTTATATAAATTACCAAAGCCACCACCAATTAGTAAATAGGGAAATGTTCACTAGGTGAGTAAGTAACAGGACATTATTCAGGGATATATTTAACTAAGGAATGGAAATAATAGCGGCACTGTTAATGATGTGGTGCCTCATTCACAGTATGCGAGTAGTATGAGATGGTGATCGACAGATTCTTGCAGTATTCAAAAGTGAAAGGATATCATGAAGTAGATAAATGAAATTAATATTGTAACAACAGAACCGCTTGACTACAGAACGGCAGCCCTCTGTACGCTGTTTCAGTAGTAGTTGGTTTAGTAGAGATATCTCGTTCCTTCCCGGATGTAATCAAAATGGGCTTTTTGATTGGTAATTACTTGAAGAGTAGGACTTCTGTTGTTGCCTCTGTGATGGTAACACATAAGTGGAATATAGTCTGTAAGTGGTTCACAAATTGCATGTGAATGTGGACAACACTCACGCATATATCGATCGAGCATGATCAATTGGTGTCTTTCTGTAGCCACTCTAGCTGTAGCTCATCGATCCGACTGTAACACGCAATGGGCATAAGCAATGGTTCAGGCGTCAATCAGGCATGATCCGTTGTTATCAGCGGGATATGACCTCAAATGATTTTTCCGGGGCAGAGGGATAAATCCACAAATCACACAAATCAATACGCACACGCATGCTGACAAAGTAAAAGGCTAAGATAATCTGTGGGATTTAAGTCATGTGTGGTCGATGAGGATTGCAAAGATGTAGTCCCTCCCCCCGCTTCAACTGAGGGTGTATAAATCTGTACTGCATGGTGGTTATATAGACGCCGCGGCAACACCAACAATAGCGAAAACAACAATAACGGCTACTAAAACTGGTACGCCGTCAGGACACATAACACATATAGTTAATCATGATTCCCATTAGCAGAACCGGAGTCGGTCGGATGACCTGATTTATCATGAACACTGCTCAGTTGACCTGCATTCACATTCAATTCATGTCGCTGCCTTCCTGCTAATGACCGACCTTCTTTGACGAACACAGGGAATACAAAGAACTAAGTTTTGCGATGCCGCTATGTTACCATCGATTCATTCAAGTCGCGGCTGGACGAAGTATTGAAAAACAGTTGCCCATTATTTCAGTTGTATTACCATCCGAATCTAGTGCGTGAAGCTTTTATGGGATTTGAAAAGTGTCAGCTTTGTAATTTAACCGTAATAACAAGTTGGGTATTAATTGGAACCTTGTAATTATTGCATCGGGAATGCTCATTTCCTGTTTCAGGAGCGATAAGTAACGGGGTACTGACTGCATGGTGATCGGTGAACATTCATTAAATTAACGGTTGTAGTCGAAATGTGCTCCTACAGCGCACGATGCAGCGGTATCACTCATGCGGAACACGATGAAATATTTGCGTGTGCAGCGAATAAAAGCCACGTTTCTGCTTCAAAAGAAAAATAGATGAAGAATGAGTGTTTGGAGACGGAAGCGGCATGGATATCAAACCGGATGATTGTGCCAAATGGAAGCATAGTTTCCCCGTAACGAATTTCAGATTGTGCCAATGTTGTAGGGGTTATGTTACGGTTTTGATGTGAAGCGATGTATTAGCCGATCACCAACTGATTCTGAATGTCAAAGGTGAATTCGTCGTGTATGTAGTAAATGAAGCGTGAACTGAAAAGCTAAGAAGCCCTGGACAGCTGTTTCAACCTGGTTGGGTATCATCAGTAGTGCGCATCCATCAATCCGACTGGGGATCGAACCCAGGACCTCACAGGCAGCATGCAGGCGTGCTACCCACTCGGCCACCGGGCAGCTGCTCAGACCGTTTTTCATTTCCTATTTACACAATATA